CTTTGTTTGATCGTGATCTGATAGTGTAAATTTTGCAAATGAACTGGATCTCAGCAGTTTCTCTTGGGAGTCCGGTCCTGAAGCTTTTTTTGCTGTAAGATGGCTACCTTTACATCTGATATTTAACAAAGACTGTGAATGGCTATCCAATTACAGAAGCAGCTTCTCCTCCCTTGGTGTTCACACCTCAACTGCTAGCAGAGCACCTCACCCTCCCTGATTGAACTAACCTCATTATCTCCATACTGATTTATACCTGCCTCTGGAGATTTCCATTACTTGCATCTGAAGAAGTGAGGTTCTTACCCATGAAAGCTTATGCTCCCAATACTTCTGTTAGTCTTAAAGGTGCCACAGAACCCTCTGTTGCTGTTTAGCATAAGTCATTAACAGATAGTGTAAGAGACCAGTCAAGGTGAACTGGCCTGTTAACACCTCTTCAGCTAGAGGAAGGACCAAAAAAGAAGAAAAAAAGGGGGGAGGTGGTTAATGAATTACTGATTGTTGTAATAAACCATAAACTCAGTGTCTGTATAAAGACCATGATTTTTAGTGTCTAACAGTTATGAATTTAAGCTCATCTGGGTCTGGTTCCCCACTGCATACGGAGTCAAATTCAACTCAAGCCTTAATCTTCAAAGTCTCTCCTCCTCTGATTAGGATTTGCTATAATAACTCTACTTCTCAGGGGCAATATCAATGTTATAGGTTAGATTTACAGGTGCTGAGGACAGAGCCTGACAGTCATAGATGGCCCATGACTGGAGTTCACTCCCACAAGAGAACAGAGTGACCAAAGTCTTACCACATTCAGAAGGAATTATTAGCTCCACCTCTTCATCACCACAGAGACAAGAAAGATGGAGAGAAAACTAACGAGAGCTATTGGCCTTCGGTAATTCTTAAAGCATTCAAGATTACCACCGTGTAAAGATTCAATCTAGAATCCTAAACTGCCCAACCCTGTCAGGATATAAAGTGGGTATATAAGGGTATACACACACCCTAAAACTAATGCTTACAACTATTGCTAGTACCCTAGCAATCAAGCCCACAAATACAAAAATGAACATCATTCAGATAGCTTATGCAAATGAAACATTTTGAGGGTGGTAATCAGTGGGGGGCACCAGAGATTTTCATTTACACTGAGGTGGTAGGAGAGAGAACTATCAACTAGGGCATCCACCATGTGTGCGCCAAAGCTCTCACTAATGCTAAGCTCACTGTTTAGCTGTCCTCTGTGCAGCAGATGGTCCCTTGATTCCACCAAGGTCATGGGGAGACTGCTGTGCCATTCAGCCTGCACATCAATATGTGGCACAGTGGGCTTGACAAAGGTTTAGCAGCTATGCATCCCAAGAGCCAGTACTGGGCTACGAAGGGAAGAGGGGCACTGTCATACGGTTTATGCCAGAAGGGATCACCAGATAAAATAAATAAATTTAAGTTAAATTAATGGAGATATCCTATCTCCTAGAACTGGAAGGGACCTTGAAAGGTCATCGAGTCCAGCCCCCTGCCTTCACTAGCAGGACCAAGTACTGATGTTGCCCCAGATCCCTAAGTGGCCCCATCAAGGATTGAACTCACAACCCTGGGTTTAGAAGGCCAATGCTCAAACCACTGAGCTATCCCTCCCAATCATCCAGTCTGACCTGCACATCACAAGCCCCCAGCCCCATCCAGGACTTGCGCCCTAAAAGCCAACAATTGAAATGAAACCAAAGTATTACAATCATCTCCATGGCAGCACCTGGAGACAGTTCTCCCTGATGCTAGAAAGAGCGGACAGAGTGCAATTGCATCCAAGAGATCAGCTATCAGAAAGAGGAACAGCCCCATGGGAATGGGAGAGACTGAGCATTATCACAGGTAAGTAAAAAGAGAACCATTAGGAGATCGAGTTTTGCTATTAAAGCAAGGCTTCAATGTATGTTACATCAGAACACTCTATTTCTTGTCCCCCAAACCCA